CCCACCACTTTACACATGTGTCTGAGAGCTTGCGCGACCGTGCGAGGGGGCCCCACCTTCCTCGAAGGCTCAGCCGGTCTGCGGTCCCTAAAAGGTTGGGGGCCGCTGCTGTAAGGTACTAGTTTCCCCTCTATTCAGCACTCATTAGGCCTCCTCGAGAGTATTCTGTCCACTTCTGGACATCACTTTTTAAGAAGGATGCCAGCATCTACCTCCTTTCCACCCCTCTACCCCCAAATCAGCACAGAAGTCATATTCATAATTTAGCAGAATCACAACAGATCTCACTTGTCGGCAACGACATCCAGGTGACCTGCTACTGAATCTGTTGTTTGGGTATTGTTGTGGCCTGGACAGCCTGGGGCCAAACCTGTCCTCTCCTGCCCCCTTACAGATCCCCCTCTTGGGCCATTTCCTGACATCTGCTACAGATGATCCTATACTCCCTGGACCAGGGTTACTCTTTGCAAATATATATTTATTTAATTTGCATCCTGCTCCCACTAGTGCTGAGGCACTACTTGGGCAGTTAACGTACATGTATCATGAGAACAAAAATAAAGATTAAGAACTTTGAAGGCAACAATAATAATACTAAAAACAGATGGCACAGACTAATTTTATACAAACCCAGAGTGGATGGAGGAAAAGGTGGGAGAAGGTGGTCCGCTAGGGTCAGTGTGGGAAGCGTTCCTGAAAAGCAACATCTTTAATTGCTTCCTTGATTTAAACTCCCGAGTCCCCGCACGAAGGGGTGTGCAGGGACCCCTGAGCATGTGCGAAGGGGTAGGGGAGTGCTCATGTGGGTGGGCGGGTGCTTCCCCACCACTTTGCACATGTGTCTGAGAGTCTGCGCGCACGTGCGAGGGGGCCCCACCTTCCTCGGAGGCTTAGCCGGTCTGCGGTCCCTAAAAGGTTGGGGGCCACTGCTGTAAGGTACTAGTTTCCCTCTATTCAGCACTCATTAGGCCTCCTCGAGAGTATTCTGTCCACTTCTGTACATCACTTTTTAAGAAGGATGTCAGCGTCTACCTGCTTTCCACCCCTCTACCTTCAAATCAGCACAGAAGTCATATTCATAATTTAGCAGAGTCACAACAGATCTCACTTGTCGGCAACGACATCCAGGTGACCTGCTACTGAATTTGCTGTTTGGGTGCTGTTGTGGCCTCGACAGCCTGGGGCCAAACCTGTCCTCTCCTGCCCCCTTACAGATCCCCCTCTTGGGCCATTTCCTGACATCTGCTACAGATGATCCTATACTCCCTGGACCAGGGTTACTCTTTGCAAATATATATTTATTTAATTTGCATCCTGCTCCCACTAGTGCCGAGGCACTACTTGGGCAGTTACGTGCATGTATCATGAGAACAAAAATAAAGATTTAAGAACTTTGAAGGCAACAACAATAATACTAAAAACAGATGGCACAGATGAATCCTATATAAACCCAGAGTGGGTGGAGGAAAAGGTGGGGGAAGGTGGCCCGCTAGGGTCAGTGTGGGAAGCATCCCTGAAAAGCAACATCTTTAATTGCTTCCTCAATTTAAACAGGGAGGGAGCTAGATGGCTCTGGAAGCTAGTTCCATAAATTTGGAGCCACCACGAAGAAGGCCCTGCCTCTTGTAGAGAATTTATGGGGCTTCCTTGGGGTGGCCGCCCAGAGCAGCCTCGACTGGGATGACCTTGTGGGTCAGGCGGTGACATTAAGGAAAGACACACCCAACAAGTAAAATGGGCCCAAACTGTGGAGGGCTTTTTGTATATTTCAAAACTTTGAACCTGGCCTGAGATGCGGTCCACCACGAAGAAGGCCCTGCCTCTTGTAGAGAATTTATGGGGCTTCCTTGGGGTGGCCGCCCAGAGCAGCCTCGACTGGGATGACCTTGTGGGTCAGGCGGTGACATTAAGGAAAGACACACCCAACAAGTAAAATGGGCCCAAACTGTGGAGGGCTTTTTGTATATTTCAAAACTTTGAACCTGGCCTGAGATGCGGTCCTCCTCGAGAGTATTCTGTCCACTTCTGTACATCACTTTTTAAGAAGGATGTCAGCGTCTACCTGCTTTCCACCCCTCTACCTTCAAATCAGCACAGAAGTCATATTCATAATTTAGCAGAGTCACAACAGATCTCACTTGTCGGCAACGACATCCAGGTGACCTGCTACTGAATTTGCTGTTTGGGTGCTGTTGTGGCCTCGACAGCCTGGGGCCAAACCTGTCCTCTCCTGCCCCCTTACAGATAGATCCCCCTCTTGGGCCATTTCCTGACGTCTGCTACAGATGATCCTATACTCCCTAGACCAGGGTTACTCTTTGCAAATATATATTTATTTAATTTGCATCCTGCTCCCACTAGTGCCGAGGCACTACTTGGGCAGTTACGTGCATGTATCATGAGAACAAAAATAAAGATTTAAGAACTTTGAAGGCAACAACAATAATACTAAAAACAGATGGCACAGATGAATCCTATATAAACCCAGAGTGGGTGGAGGAAAAGGTGGGGGAAGGTGGCCCGCTAGGGTCAGTGTGGGAAGCATCCCTGAAAAGCAACATCTTTAATTGCTTCCTCAATTTAAACAGGGAGGGAGCTAGATGGCTCTGGAAGCTAGTTCCATAAATTTGGAGCCACCACGAAGAAGGCCCTGCCTCTTGTAGAGAATTTATGGAGCTTCCTTGGGGTGGCCGCCCAGAGCAGCCTCGACTGGGATGACCTTGTGGGTCAGGCGGTGACATTAAGGAAAGGCACACCCAACAAATAACATGGGCCCAAACTGTGGAGGGCTTTTTGTATATTTCAAAACTTTGAACCTGGCCTGAGATGCGGTCAGTTTTGCTTGCACCCAATGGCTGCCGCACTCTGGACCCACTGAAGTCTCTGGATCGTGCTCAAGGGAAGCCCCATGTAGAGAGCATTGCAGTAGTCAATCCGAGACATGACCAGGGCCAGCACGAAAGTCTGGCATATCTCCAGAATCACCAGAAAAGCCAATAATCCTAGCAAATGTATACAAAGAAGCAGGAAAAGAGGGGGGATCTAACATGAGATGGACGGACTAAGGAAAAGAGAAATGGCCATCTGGTCCATTACACAATCAAAGTTCAGGAGAAGTGATACTTTTGTTGGACCTACCAAAAATCAAACATTCAGCAAGAGATGTACCTGGGCAGGCTTCTGCCATGAAGCTTTGAGACAAAAGTTTATAATTTTTCTGCACTCTTCACAAGATATTGAAACATGCCTGAAGAAGTGATTTTTAATTATGGAAGCCCATGCTGAATGTTTCCGTTGTAGTGATCTAATAAAGGCTGGATAGCTCTCTGGTTTAAGTCTCTGCTTGTGGATCTGAAGTTGGGTGTTCGATTCCCCCACTGGGCCTCTGGAGAGAAGAAGTTGCAAAGGAAGTTTGCAAGTCTTGGGCAAGATCTTTAGGAAATTATGACTTCAAAGGGTTGTAATAAGTTGCCAGTTACTGTACTTGATGGACCATAAAGCCGCCCAGAGACCTCTGGGTAGTGTGGGCGGCATATAAATTGAATAAATAAATAAATAAATAAATAAATAAATAAATAAATAAATAAATAAATAAATAAATAAATAAATAAATAAATAAATAAAACAGCACATGCCCTCTGCATGGCTGAGTGTTGGAATCTGGGGCCCTTCTTTTCTTCCTTAATGATCTAAGATGCCTCTACTGTATTAATTGTTCAGTTTTAAATATTGTCCTTTAATGGTGTTAACCACCGTTCTGTACTCTTTTCAACTGTAAATATTGGTGCGTGTTTTTTCGCCATTGTTGTAAGCCGCCTCGAGTCCTTTTCACGGAGAAAAGTGGGGTAAAAATAAGTCAATAAATAAAATAAGTAAGTTCCCTCCGACAAGGCGCAAATGGAGGTGGGAAATCCTTAAATTTGGAAAGGCAGCCCACGTGGATCTTGGAAAAGTTCTGCAGATCAGACAAGGGTCTTTTTTAATTTTTGTTAAAAGGTGGAATTTGCTCTGGAGGAGAAGCCCTCTTTCCACCAGCCTCTCCCCGCCCAGACAATAAGCACGTAATCATTGCAACAAGAAAATCGGGTGCCGTTTTTGTCTTTTTTTTATTTTACCCTTTTATTTTTTATTTTCTTGCACAGATTAACGCGGGCGGCCCTTCTTACGAACGACAGCAAATGCAGTTTTTTTTTTTTGCGGCTCATCCATGCGCTCGGGACCAGATTGGAGGGGCTTGTGATCCGTCCTGCCAGGACCCTGCTTGGGCTTCATTCACATGATAAGGAAAGAGGGAACGAGATCGGCAGCCAATGAAAAGAGACGAAGAAGGGAGGGGGGAAAGAGAAGTGGTGGGGAGGGCTATTGAATAGACAGAACACGTCTATTCCGTGAAAGCAAGCTAAATCCAAAGAGCACCAGATCCTGGACATAATGAATGGAGGTAAACGAGGAGGTTGGGTGGGAGCTACTGGGACTGGATGGGGTGGGGGAAGGAAGATCTGGGGAGAAAGGTCTGAAACAGCAGATGGGCTTCTGGGCAGGGGAGTTCCAGATCCCTTCTTTCAAACCCAGGAGGGAGCCAGAAATCCCCCCCCAAATCCCTGCAAAGCCCAAACACAAAGTGTTGCAGTGGCTGTTTCCTTGGCACTATTTGGGGGGTGGGTGGGATGTCCAAAGATCCGATGTGGGAACGTAAGGGTTAAATGCACAGAGTGGGATTCCTAGACTGGGGTGGTTATTGTGGGTGGGGAGGAAAAAACAGGAATCTGGAGGGGGGGCGGTGTTTCCTCCCTAGCAAATGCTCCTCCTGCACCCACCCCATTGGTTGCTTGGGGTGGAGGATGATTCTGTGGAAGCAAAGGCTGGAGGGGGGGGGGGTCACCTGTGAAGGGTGGGAGAAGGAGCCTCAAACCTCAGACCCAGCTGAGTTGAAGGGAAGGGCGTCCCCACACCTGGCCAGTGATTTATGCTGCTGTGATCATCATCATCTTCACCTGAGCCCTGCAGAGCTGGAAGGGGGCCCTATGGATCAAGGAGGCAGGGTGGGGGGAATCGAACTCACAACCTTTGGCTTTGCAGGCAGATGCGAAGCAATCCTTTATGTACCACGACTAGCCTTTGAATGAGAACCGAGGGTGAGCGTATATCAGAAGGTCTTGAGTCAATCTGTCGGGTCTCCTTCTTTTGCAAATCCTGCAATCATCTCCCTCCCAACACACACACACACACACACACACACATTTGCAAATCCTACAATCTCCCCCCAACACACACACACACACACGCACACACACACACACACACACACACACACACACACACACACACAGAGTCTCTGTTGGAATAATGAAACCTGCATCTGATGCCTTTAAAGAGGTTTTGGCGGTGGGGAAGTTTTCTGGACTGGAGTTGCTGTCAATCAGCTCAGTAACAGCTAATAGTTTCTTCTCTGCTTCAGTTTTCTCCCCTTTTTTTGCCCCAGTTAGGGTCCAGCTAGATGTCAGTGTTCGTTATGGAGTCTGAAGACAGAGCTAAGTGTCCTGTCAGCTGTGTAACCAGTCAGTTACTGTAATCAGTAATGAAGCTAGCTAACTAGTTAAGCTCACCAATGTGACAAGTTAACATGTTTATAGAATATGGTGTTTGTTTTTCCTCTGAAGAATTGTAAGTAAAAAAGAAACATTTCATTCTTTCTCATTACCAGAGTCTCTGCACTGAGGCAGTAAGTGCCAGTTGAAATAAACAAACAAATAAGGGGTGGTCTACTGAAGGAGACCTGTCACTCATTCTGCTCTATAGGTTCTCGAATCAACCATTTTTATCCACTGCATAATTAGAGGAAAGTTTGATGTAAATAATTAAGCTACACTCTTCCCCCCAAGATTCTCTTCTCATGATGTGCTCAAAATCTAATAATTATTTTTAATCCTTTTTTTGTTGTTGTTTCTGTTGCTTCTAGAGAGAAATGAAAAGCTTTAATAGCTCTCTTTCGCTAAGTTCTAAGAGAGAAGGAGAAGGGGATCACTTTAGTCCATCAGAGGCTTTGCTGGAGAAAGGATCCAAGATGGATGAACGAGACACAGATAGTCCTGAAAGAGGGGAAAGCCCTGATGCCCTCAAGATGGAGAACAGAAGGGGAATTTTGGAAAGAACAGTGCTGAGAACTGTGCACGAGGATGTGGTCGGCTCAGATCTGCAGCGAATGTCCTTCAGGCGTTTCTCCTACAAGGAGGCTGAAGGTCCCCGAGAAGTTTGCCGGTGGCTTCATGTTCTTTGTCGCCAGTGGCTGAGGCCAGATGAGCAAACAAAAAACCAGATCCTGGATCTGGTGATCCTGGAGCAGTTCCTGGCCATCCTTCCCCCGGAGATGTCCAGCTGGGTGAGGGAATGTGGAGCGGAGACCAGTTCCCAGGCGGTGGCCCTGGCCGAAGGCTTCCTCCTGAGCCAGGCAGAGGAGAAGAGGCAGGAAGAGGAAAAGGTGAGTTTCTTTCTTCTTGGCCTCTCTAAGACAGAGGTGACCACACGGGGCCTCTAGGTTGCTTTTCTCATCCCTGCTGCTACTATTGCCACCATCTTTACAGCCATTGCCACATTTGCTACGGATGTCTCCCTGAAATGTGAATGTTCTTTGAAGTGAGACATCTATTTTGAAACAAGGTGTGTGCTCTTTGTGGGCCTTGATCCAAAAAAAGTTACAGTGGTGCCTCACTTAACGACGATAATCCGTTCCTGGAAAATCGCCATTAAGCAAAAACTTTGTAAAGCGAAATTAAAAAACCCCATTGAAACGCACTGAAACCCGTTCAATGTGTTCCAGTGGGGTAAAATCTCACCATCCAGCAAAGATCCTCCATACGGCAGCCATTTTCACTGCCTGTATAGCGAGGAATCCGTCCCTAAACACAGCGAGAAGCAGCCATTTTAATTACCCGGTGGCCATTTTGAAACTGCCGATCAGCTGTTAGAAAAACATTGTTTTGCGAAGAACTGGTTCCCAAAGGAGGGAACCGATCATCGCAAAGCAAAATGGCCCCATTTGGACCATCGTTTTGTGATCACAATTGCGATCGCAAAAAGATTGTCATAAAGCGGATTCGTCATAATGCAGGACATTCGTAAAGCGAGGCACCACTGTATTGCTGGGACTTCTAAATCCTTAGGCTTGTGCTGTTGTGACTGCAGTTGCAGGATAGAACCATGGTGGACATGGGGAGGGGGGAACCCACCATGCGTTCATGCTTCCAGAAGTTATTCACTCTTAGGCTGTGGTTCCCAACTTGGGGTCCCCAGATGGACTACGATTCCCAGAAATCTTGGCCAGCACAGCTAGTGGTGAAGGCTTCTGGGAGTTTCCAGCCAAGAACATCTGGGGACCACAGGTTGGGAACAATTGTTTTAGAACATCTGGGGACCCCAGGTTGGGAACAATTGCTTGAAGGGTCAAGAATATGAGGGAGAATATTACAAAACTTGCTGCCAGCTGCCCAAGGACAGATGTCCCCCTCCTAAAACCCGCTTAGATTTTTGCTTCTAAAATTCAATTTATCCAAAATTTTATGTCTGTCATTCTCGCTGCTCTTTCAGGTCTCAAATCTGCCTGTGGAACTTCAGTTTAAATTTCCTGAGGCAGAGATGGCTTTGGAGGGCACCAAGCAGAGTTTTCTGCGAAGGGGATCCAAGCAAGATGATGACGGAGGTGGCCCCATCCAGGGTAAGGATGAGTGATGGAAAGGCGTGTTTCCCTTTGGTCTCTCTCTGGTGAGGTATGGAAAGGATCCTTGTGCTTCTCTTAAGTTTCCTTGAGTCCTTTCCATAGTTCAGAGCAAGGTTTAGTTCCAAACGTCTGAAGGCTTTAAACATGGACATGCGTTTTTTGATTTATGGCCGGAAGGTCAAACAAGCAGAGAAGAACTCTGCTTGCGTGGGTTATTCTTGCTCGTTCATTGTATGTACTATCAACAAAATTTCCTTAGGACCACAGGACTCTCTCTTACTTTCTGCTATTGACCTTGCTACTCATAACCGTCTGTTAATCAGCACGTGGCAGTTTCATTTCTTATGATAAAAAAACCCAACCAACCACACACACACAGAATATTTTTTTTATTTCCCATTGTGTGTGTGTCTCCCAGCAGTTGAAAGTACTGTAAATAAGAATCATCACTTGATCTTAGTTAAAAATATTAAAGAACTTTTACTGTTTAAAACACATGTAGAATAGAATAAACTCACAGTGCTTTGACATTCGGTGCGTTATAGATAAACTGGTCCTGGACTTTGTTATGTCTGTATGTCGCTCTTAAACCCGACAGACATATTTATTCTAATAAATCTACTACCCCGTTTCCCCGAAAATAAGACCTAACCTGAAAATAAGCCCTAGTATGATTTTTCAGGATGCTCATAATATAAGCCATACCCCCAAAATAAGCCCCAGTTAAGTGAAACCCTGCCCTCCACCATTGTGTGGCAACCAGAAGATGACATGACTGCATTTAAATAAATATAGATCGTTGTACATGAAAAAAATAAATAAAACCTCCCCTGAAAATAAGCCCTAATGCTGTTTTTGGAGCAAAAATTAATATAAGACCCTGTCTTATTTTTGGGGAAACAGGGTAACACATTGAACAGCGAAACCTATAACATATTTGACCTTATGAATGATCCTAACACTTAACTGACAGACTGCATCCTGCTAGGTATTTAGCTTTATATATCCATCTGTCTGATACCGGGCACAGTCTGATTGACTGGAATGCTTCACTATGCAAATATCACATTCTAATTGTTGGCATACACACACATACCACATACTGTGTTGTACAATGAATTTTCCAACATCTACCGCATCTGAACTAGCATCCCTGTAAAGTAGTTCAGTGTGAAAATAGCACATTTCCCAAAGATCACCCATTGAGAAAGTGAAGGCTCAGTGGGAAGAAGAACGTGGGTCTCCCAAATTCTCATCCAGCACCCAGACCATTGTGGTCTCTCTTCTTTACAGTGCAAACCAGGCCATTTTATTTGGCTGTTCCCATCCCTCTCAATGGGGTTACTTTCTAGTAAATGTTTGTAGGGTTGTCTTCTTAATCACTGGGACAGAATTATATCACTGGCTTCTCTTCCCCCTTTTGTCTCCTCAGCAGGGACTAGAATGATGCCAGTAGCAAGTACCCAACTATTGTTGCCTCGCCACCATTGTGATGGATCGGCAGCAGATCACAAAGGCGAAAGTGCCGGTGGAAAGACGTACTGGGTGCACCAGAGATTCCCAGGACCCCGGTTCCTCTCTTGGGTAGGGATGGGTGAGAATTTTGTTGCAGGGAGATTACAAAATTACAAAACAGTTACCACCTGCGCTAGATAAGAGACATTGACATTTATGGATTATTCGCTCCAGGTACAAGACTTCTCACTTCATTTTTTGGGGGGGGAATCACATTAGCATTGAATTAAATTCGCTCTGTCCTTTTGAAAAATTGTCCTTACTTTCAGCAGCTAAACAGCAGGCATCATATGATCCGCTCTGTTTTGGGAATAGCAGCATTAATTAATTTGGCCAGTGGAGATACTGTAGGAGAAATTTTAATTAAATTTAATTTAATGCTTTGCAGTTTGTTTGAAGAATTACCATATTTTTCCGTGTATAAGATGCCCCCATGTATAAGACCACCCCCCCACTTTTCTAACCCAAAATTAAGAAATCTGAGTGGGACTTAGCAAGTGTAGGGGGGAAAGGATCAAAGCACTGCAGGATTGCTTTGATGCCTGCTTTCCCCTCCACTTGTTTTTCTCTCTCTTCAGCTTACTTCCATGTATAAGACGACCCTTAATTTTTAGACAAAGGTATAGTCTTATACATGGAAAAATATGGTAAATACTGTAGTCACAAATTCATTCCTATTCAGATGGAAAAATTTTAAGATTTTAACATATCTACTCTCTCCTCCCTTCTGTTTTCTTTTGGCAATGTCATGAACTTAAAAAGGGCCCTGCTGGATAATTGGAAAGCTGATATTTTCCAGGATTGTGTTTCCCAAGAAAGCCAAAGATGTGCTATAGAAGGCTTGCAAGCCAGGCCTGTGGGTGTAGCCCACTCCCTCCCACTGTTGTTCTCCAGCAGCTGGGATTCACAGGCATGCAGCCACTGGTCCTATAGGGAACATGTAGCCCCTGTCATGACAGGTACCCACTGGTATCCCTGTTTTCCAATAGGAAGGCTGTGATTGCCATTCATGCAAATGTTCCTTTTCAGTAGGGTAGGTGTGCATTGAAAATTCTGTTCTTTTCTTTCCTTTAGTTGGCTGCAGATCCCATTTAGCATTAGATTTTAGAATCCAGTCAAGTGCCTGTGTGTGTGTGAGAAAGTGCCGTAGATGTCTTGAGTCTCCCATGTGAGGTTTGACAAGTAGCCACTGGAAACCTTGTTCTGTGGTGGGAAGGTGGTGATTGCCATTCATATAATTTTCAGTCTTGTGATACAAGTCACAACCACCTCATCCCAGCTACCCTTTGGGATTCTGCTGCTAGATGCTCTATTAGCTTTTTCGTTTTTCATTTAGGGTCCCACGACCTTTGAGGAGGTAGCTGTGCATTTCACCCAGGAGGAGTGGGTGCTGCTGGATCCTGACCAGAGAACCCTACACAGGGAAGTCATGGAGGAGAACTGCGGGATCGTGGCCTCTCTTGGTAAGGCTCCTTATTTTTCTGGCCGATCATGCCATCTCTTCACAAAGACGTATCAAAGTCACAGCAATAACAGCAGCAATAGCCATTCCCTACTCACACCAGCATTTAAGGTGATGCCCGGGGCCCTTTGGCTCTGTAGTTGTTCCTGAACTCCAGTTCCCATCATCCTTAGCCTGGCTGTTAATGAGTCACGATGGGAACAGCTGTTCACCCACATCTGGAAGACTGAAGGTTCCTCTCCCCTACTGGTAGGAGATGCAGGAGAAGAACAGCTCTGATTAAGGATGGGATTTTAATCCTGATGGCATAAAAGTGGTGCATAAAAGGGTATTAAGGCTACTTGAGGATGCCGGACAAGGATGGCCCAAAGCAGAGACAGGCACTGCACACATTTTTCTTTTAATATTTTCAGATCGTGGATAAGTGAAGCAGTGGATACTGATGCTGTGGACAAGGGGGTCCAACTGTATATATCTCAAAGCAGGAGGCCGCTCAACATCTAGGAAAAAAGAGAGGGTTCAGAAGCTTATAATCATTCCCTGCATGTAGCGTTGCATCCAATTCTGGGCTCTGCAGTTTGTGAAAAGATGTGGGACAGAAAACAAATGAAATGTTTTGTGGTCCTGTAACATTTGTGGGTATATTTGCGAGATGTTGATTTATTTACTTGTCTTGTTTGTAGGCTGCCTTTCTCCTGATAAGGGGACTCAAGGTGGATGACAGTACTAAAAAAAAAAAAAAAAAAAAAAAATAA